ATGATAGGGTAGGGGTGATGGGGAGTGTGACAGAGAAAGAGCGGGGAGCAGGCTGGACCCTGAGCACTGAGAGCGAGGCTGGCAGAGGCTGAGGGGAGCCTTGCCTCTCAGCATCCCAGGATCCTCACCTGAGCAGAAGGCAGATACTTACTGGACTGAGCCACCCAGGTGCCCCAATAATGGCTTCCAATAAAAAAATCAGATTTTCTCATACCAGTCAGTAAACAAGATAACCTATTTATTAAGCCACTAATTGACCTGAATTATGTAAATGTGAGAGGAATTGGCTTCCAATTTTAGGCTAAATTTGATAAGTAAAAGTTTAATGAAAATTTTAAGCAACGTGACATTAAAGATTTGTCGTAATAAAAGATGGTGTGTTTTAGGAAATAGTTCTGGCAGGACTTAGTTAATCTTGGAATTACATGAATGTATAAAAAGTTTCCTCTTGAATTTTCTGGGTAAGATTCAATTTCCAATCAGTGGCTTTTTTCCCCCTTTCATATGCTCTGGTTATATAATATAATATTTTAAGTTGGCTGGATAGAATTTGAATTTTTAATATATTAAATAGATATTTGTGTTTCAAAAAAATACACAGTTCTGTAATATTAACTATTGTCACTATGCTGCACATTAATCCCCAGAATTTATGAGTCTCATACCTGTAAGTTTGTACCTTTTACCACCTTTTTCCATTCCCATTGTCCTTCCAAGTAGAGTTTTCTTGATTATTTGTGAGATTTTTCAATCCTTTCATAGGCTTATTTGCCATGTACTGCAGCTTTGGAGAACCAGACTTGTTCCAATGGTTGTAGGAGCTCTTTATATATTCTGGATACTGATGCTTTGTCCATGATAAAACAATTTTTTATTATTACTATTTTGTATTATGTTATGTTAGGCACCATACAGCACATCATTAGTTTTTGATGTAGTGTTCCATGATTCACTGTATGCATTTATCACCCAGTGCTCCACGTGATACGTACCCTCCTTAATACCCACCACCAGGTTCACCCATCCCATCCACCCTCCCCCTCTAAAACTCTCAGTTTCTTGAGTCCACAGTCTCTACGGTTCATCTCCCCGTCTGATTTCCACCCTCTTCATTTTTCCCCTCCTTCTCCTAATATTCTCCATATTACTCCTTATGTTCCATAAGTAAGTGAAACCATATGATAATTGACTCTCTCTGCTTGACTTATTTCACTCAGCATAATCTCCTCCAGTCCCGTCCATGTGCCTGATTTCCAACACCGAAGGAGAACTTGGGAAATATTCTCTTTGTTCAGAATTCTCGTCCAGGCAGTTAGAAGGCCAAGTACAGGAATCCCAACAGTGTTCACTGTTAGGTCCGTTATTAAATGAAACAAGACTGAGACAAAGTGAAAGCTACTTAAAACTTTATTTATGATAAGTATTAGAAGTTAGACTGGGGGCGCCTGGGTGGCTCAGTGGATTAAGCCGCTGCCTTCGGCTCGGGTCATGATCTCAGGGTCCTGGGATCGAGCCCCGCATCGGGCTCTTTGCTCAGCGGGGAGCCTGCTTCCCTCTCTCTCTCTGCCTGCCTCTCTGCCTACTTGTGATCTCTCTCTCTGTCAAATAAATAAATAAAACCTTAAAAAAAAAAAAAGAAGTTAGACTGATTGGCCAGGGGAATGAGACTGAGGTAAGGTGAAAGTTATGCAAAGCTCTATTCTATGCTAAGCATTAGAAGTCAGACTGACTGGCCAGGGCTGTCTCCGAAGAAAGTGACCCCTCCAATCTTACAGGCTACCTTTTATTGGGTAAAACAGTAACAGTATCTCAACCTACTGGGTTTGTGTGTCTCTTGCTGATTGGCTAGTTTCACCGGTCTGGTGACGTGTTATTCAAGATTACTCCACACTAGGACAGTTACAAGCGGTACTTTCTGGGAAGGCTTAGTCAGTTAACATATTCAGTGTGAATAATAAGATCGTCGTCCTTCCCAAGATGGAGTTATTTAGGTTTGGGCAAGACCTTCTCACTGTTACAAACAGTACTTTGTACTGATTAGATGTCTCTATCTGGCCTGACTCATCCTTGTATTCTGGGCTCTGTTATCAGGAAGTAGCCGACTACATTTCACTGGTTTCCCAGACTTGTTTCTAAGTAAGTTTCTCTGGGGGGAGGGCAGGGTCAATTTAAGTTTTATTGCAGAAACAACAAAATGGCTATTTACCCAAGATGGAGTCGCTCTGGCTAAATAGGTCCTTACAATCACCAGAGCATCCATGTTATGAAAAAGTGCAGAGGTGGGTCATCATGACCGAGAATGAAGGCAGGGAAATACTCCATCTCCACCATAATCATGATCTCCTGGAGGACTGGAGGATTCCGCCTTCACCACAGGGATCGAAGGTCCCGTTGGTGCACATGGACAGCAGGTAGAAGCCACTCATCAGAAGGGTGAGCAGGTGCAGGAGAGCAGATCCTCAGGCCTTCTTATAGCAACTTCAGCCTCTAAAAGAGAAACAGGAGCTTGTTCCAGTGGCTGAGAAAATCTTGGGTCAGTCTTCTTGGGCTTCTCCCTCCCCATTTACTGCCTGGCTCAAAGCCCAGCTCACACTGAGGGTCAAGTATCACCATACACTAGCCACCCCTCCCCCAACCCTGGGACACCCAACCCCTGGGTCCAGCAGTCTGACCAAACCCTTCCNCCTGGGACACCCAACCCCTGGGTCCAGCAGTCTGACCAAACCCTTCCCTCATTACCACAAAACAGTCAGATCCAGGCCCTACTGCTGAACACCTAGGCTCAAGACTAAAGCCACCAATGATTCATCTGTTCCTATGACATAGATCCTGGCCCCCCTCTGGCCAGGTGAGAAGGCCTAAGAGAGTGGCTGGGAGCCCTCCCCAGAAAGGGACCTGGATCCTGGTTCCTGTAGCCTTGGGGAAGGTTACAGGCAAAGATCCATCTTCCCTTGTCATCAGCCTCTCCTCACCTTGGTAGCTGAACACACGGTCTGAGTGTGACTGTCCTTGCCCTGCCACACCCTTTCCTGGTCCGGTCAGGAGACAGCATCCCATTCTAACAGCAGCTCAATGTCCCGTCCTGAGCCACTCTGAGGCACCTCTGCTCAAGGCAGGGGCAGTTCAGCGGGCTGGGGCTCTGGGCTCTGCAGGAGCCTAGCTGCCAGGTTCTGAGAGCACCAGGGCTGAGCCAAGTATCCCAGGGGACCCTGGAGCTCTGGCCTTCGAATCTCATCCTGAAGAGTCTCTCCCATGGGCCCTCTGGTTAGCTGCCACCACCCAAGCAGAGTAGCATGGGAGCAGAGCCCTGCAAGCCAGCCTTTGGATGGGTGGGCAACGGCCTTCCCACCCCTCTTCTTTGGTTCAGACACAGTCCCCTCTCCTAGATGCAGAATGGAGAGGTTCCCCATCCCTAGGACACATCATGTGCAGCCACCTGCTGCTCTCCCCCTTGTTGTCCATGCCCGTTGCTCCTATTGTCTGCACACCACCCCTTACTTGGGCGCCACCCTGGGTGAAAAGCTGGTCTGAGCCAGGCCTGATTTTGCTCAATCCCTCTAGCAAAAACAGGATGGAAAGTTTGGGGTCGGGGAGCCCTGTGCTTTCCCACCAGGCTTAGCAAGGCGCTATCAGAGCTCAAGGCCAAGCTTGCCCAGGTAACATGTGAGAACTTGGTCCCAGCTCCTTTTGTAGGTCAACATGACGGGCCAAGGGACACCCCCCAATAGCTGGGAAAACATTCTTTCTGGGTCTGTGTAGAGAGTGTTTCTGGAAGACATGAGCATTTGAATCAGTAGACTGAGTAAAGAAGACTGTCCTCATCGAATCCACGAGGACCTGAATGGAACAAATGGCGGAGGAAAGGTGACTTTGCTCTCAGTTTGGCTGGGCCATCCTTCTCCTGCCCTCAGCGTTGGTCATTAGCACTCCTGGTGTTTGGTTCTTTGGACCAGGACCTAGACTTACACCACAGATGCCCTGATTCTCAGGCCTTCGGGTTTGCGCTGGAAACCCCACCACCAGATTCCCTGTTTCTCCAGCTCACAGACCCCCTAGTCATGAACCAATCCCTTATAATAATTATCTACTTCAACCTCTACATCAACAGCTCCTGATGAGTCTCTTTCTTGGGAGAAGCTAATATAGCCCAACATATCTGGTCTCATGTTCAGGTGAGAAGGTTCAGGCAATAGGACAAGGGCTGGCTATTCGCCTTTCTCTGTGCTCACCTTGGGCCATCTGCCTCTCACTTCTGACTCAGTTATGCCCACAGTACCTGTTACTCAAAGGACTATGCCTTGGACAACAAGGAAGATTGAGTGTGTGAGGACCACAAAGAGGACGGAAGTGACCGGCCTGATGGCTGCGCATTTGACCCGGACTACACGCAGTGTTGTGGCCGGTGCTCCTGAAATGGAAACACAGTAGTGAGAGCCCTGATTAGGGGCCCCAAACTGGGGGCATGAGTCTTTAGCTGCTGCCGCCCCACGTAATCCTACAGCCCAGATGTCCTCCTTCTGCCATGTTTGTGGCAGCCCCTGTGACTGGCCCTAGGGATGGAAGAGGGGGCGGTTCATGCAGATCATATAGCTAATGGGAGAAGCAAGGCTTTCCATATAGACAGTCACTCCTGCAGTGACAGAAGAGAAGAGGACACGTATGGATGTTTGACAGAGACATCTTGTCAGGAGCTATTTCACCTGGCATTGAAGGATTTCAAGAAAGAGACCAGGGGAGACAAAAAACAACAATGAGGCTCAGAAAAGGGAACAGTAAGAAGTAAATCTCTGGAAACAGAATGAGGCCTTCAGGTTGGGGCCAGGAAGAAATCCAGAGAGAGAGAACTAAAGGTATGTGCAGTAGGGAGAGATGCCAGTAGGTGAGAAGGGAAAAGAAGGATACTAGAACATACTAGTGGCCCTTGTACTCCCAAGAACAACTCATCATGTATGCATCATTACACACACACACACACACACACACACACACACACACACACACTATGGTGGGGTCGGCCAATCTCTTCAAGAGAACCAGCACTCCATCCAGTCTTCTAGTTCCCTGTGGTCTCCTGCGTCTCATTGCTGTGCTCCCGCAGTTTCTGGAGCCATCTCTTACAGTCTCCGTTCGCGATCTTCATGAGGAGCTCGGTCAGCTCTCTGTCACCATCCAACACGTCCTTAACCTGTTGGTCTCCAAGAGGAATCTCTATCCACTTTCTCTTCTCCGGGTCAAAGAGGCAGGTTAACTGCTCATTGAATACAAACTGCCAAGATCCTCTGCTGTGTCCGTGGGCCCCACATTCACACACGAGGCTGCCCTGCAGGGTGAGAGAATCTGCCCCCGCCCCCACCAGGGGAAACAGGTCAGCCTCTGGTCTTGACCAATCTTTTGCCCCACCTGCTGCCCACTCCTCAGCTCCCCTTCGGCCCTCCTGGTCCTGTTCCGGCCTCCTTGTCTGCCCTGGCTTCTGGGACCCACTTTGAAGTTTTACATGAACACCATAGCTCCCCAGCCCTGCCAAAGTGTTCTCCTTCTGCCCTGGGCCTTCGGACTCACCGCTCTCAGTGAAAATCTCTGCTTTGATGTCCAGCAGTTTCTTTCTGAGCTCTTCCCCCAGGTCTTCCAGAGGTTCCATATGTGTGTCCCAAAATGCTGTGTCCTTCAGCTTCATCCCCCAAGGACCAACGGGTCTGACCCGCCTGCTCCCACAGGCATAATAAACTCGTTTCCATTGACCTGGCCTTGAATCTCACACCACGGTTGTCCGGGCCTGGCCTGAGATGTGATGGAGAAATTGTAGGAAAGCAAGAGAGCGTCTGGGAAGGAAAAACACAGGTGGAGGTTGGTGCTGGAAGAAAAAGAGCAGCAGGAACCCCTCTGCCATCCAGGTGACAGCAATAGGATATGTGGAAGAAGGAGCAAGGACTGTTCCTGCACAGCGGCTCCCCCTAGTGTAGAGGCTGGCGCCCTTCCCCTTTTGGGATAGGATCAGGATACCTCTGCCTGGCAGGAAGCCACATATCCCCAGATGGGGACCCGCACCTACCAGGCCAAAGGCTGCATCAGTCACTCTACCCAGTGCACGCACAGGCCAGCCTGGCCATAGCAGAGGAGGCCTGCATGTCACAGGACTGTCAGGACGCAGGCCAGTGTCCTGTAGGAAGATGAGGGGCAGAGAGGGGCCTGCTCCTGAGGAGCTGGGGCGGGGTAGGGGCAGTGAGGATAGAATCCAAAGTCAGAGAAGGGAGAGTTCAAGACCATGGGTCGCAGGATTCCATAGGGCCCAGGAGATGGCCCTAATGAGCTCTAAGGATGAGTCCAGGTAAAGTGAAGAAAGGCCGGTCCCCTGTTGCACTGACGAGATTATCAAGAATTTCCTGAGCAGAGACTAGAGGAAGGGATCACAAGGCTCAGAGAAATGCACAAGTCAGAATGATATAAAATAGAAGCAAAACAAACGAAAACCTCCCCAAACAGAAAAACCCTAAAAGGTCCACAAAATATATCCAGGGGGAGCTCTGGAGGGGCGGGGGTGGTGACTCCTGGAGAAGTTGCTTCAGTGCCAGAGTCGCGGGCGTGTGCGGGATCCAGGCCCTGCGGGATCTCCCTGTCCTGTACGCAGCCCGGGGCTCCAGGGCTGGCCTCCCGCTCCCCGAGGGGGCAGGCGGGGGCGGGGGCGACAGCGGACTCCCCGCC